GCTGAATAATCTAATCAAACGTAACCTATCATACAAATTACCACAACATACTGTACTGTATACATGTGAAATGAAAAAAATATCCCCCAAAGGAATTACATCAAATCACACATTATCCACCTTTTCTCTATATTCCCCCTCACCCATTTACCTTGCGTGACTGTCAGCTGACCTAAATCTGTCTAAGGTTTGGCGCCATAACCTATACCGCTGTGTTTACACTCAGAATGTTCACACTAGGTGTATACTCTTAATTCTAAACATTTCAGAAATTATACGCTATTGTTTGTTATCACTGTACTGTAGTACGTAAAGTTGTAAGTAAGCAGTGTGGTGATGTAGCAGTAGTACACACCACCATGTGTGTGCGAGTACGACTACGTTCTAGCCTCGCACCGTCCACCAATTCACCCTGCCACTCCGTAGTATTCGTTCCAATCATTTGCTTGTCCCAGACTTTGGCTTACATCTTAATGGAGGAACAACGTAATGTTAAAAAGTGTAATTTGCAATGCAAGTATCTTGCGCGATGTTAAGACGATAAAATAATTTGGCGATTGTGAGAGTTTAAGGGAAAACTGTTGTTTGGAAAGTTTGTGCGGCCACACCTGCAGTACGGAAGGTCAACCGTGTGAGTCATAACTGTGCTGCGCTGTACTGTACCACGTGATGCTCTATACTGACGTCACCTCATCAACGTGACGTTACGACATAAATTGTTTACATTTACAATATTTTGATTTTTAGTAGTTAGGCACCATAAGTTCAACAATTTCTTATAAATTATATTTCACTTATTGTATACAGTATTATACTATATATAAATTCAGAACTTCGTAAATATTTTGAGATTTTTTTGCGTGTTCACCTAGAGTTCATTTCCATTAGCAATGTTGAGCATATTATATCTATTGCAACAGTAAGCCGAGAGAGAAGACTCCTATAATACGAGCAGCATTTCAGTTTGCACTTCTTCATGTGCAAACTGGACGTCATGAAAACACCTAAACGATATAACATCCCCGTGTGATCCACAATAGTTGAACCCAAATATAAATAATTATAATTCGCTGACGTCAGCATGAGTTATCACCCGCCGTCATATGGCGAACCACGTTCATCACGTCACAGGTAATATGATGACAAAAGAATAGCATTAATGCAATCCCTTGAACAAGTGGTGAACAACATATGGTGTTACAACTAAACTTAACGTAAATGTCACTACCAGGACACAAAATGTAATGGCATTGCATGACGAGATAGGCTCACAACAACAGGCATCACGTAATATTTGAACATGAAGAAGCATGTGAAAATATTGAGAACATAAGAACATAAGACTGGAGGAAACTGCAGCGGGCCTATTGACCCATACTGGGCAGTCCCGTTTATACCCAACCCCTATTGCTCATATAAGCATCCAACCTATGTTTGAAGCTATTCAGCGTATTCGAGTTAATGATGATATTTGATAACTGTTCCACTCATCCACTACTCTGTTTCCAAACCAGTGTTTACCTATTTCACACCGAAATCTAAATTTGTCTAATTTAAAACCATTCTTACTGGTTCGCTCCTGGTTGGATAGTTTGAATACCTTCGTAATGTCCCCTTTGTTAAACCCTGACTTCCATTTATACACCTCTATCATGTCGCCCCTCACTCTACGTCTCTCGAGGGAGTGCAAATTAAGATGCTTTAACCTGTCTCTGTATTCAAGGTTCCTAATGCCCGGGATTAGTCTTGTCATTCTCCTCTGGATTCTTTCCAATGATTCTATATCCATTCTGTAATACGGTGACCAGAACTGAACTGCGTAATCCAGCTCGTAATCCAGAGCTAGATATAATATTAAGATGACCTCGCTAGTCTTGTAACTAACACTCCTTTGTATGAACCCAAATACTTTATTAGCCTTGTTACGAGCATAAAGGTCCCTTCTGCCGTAGAAGTTGTCCCAGTTATTACTTGAAACATCACGCAATGTTTATATATAAAAGGACGTGTAACACTACTACATCAGGATAGGTTAAAGAAACTTAACTTGCATTCCCTAGAAAGACAAAGAGTGCTGGGAGATATGATAGAAGTATTTAAGTGGGTGAAAGGAATCAATAAAGGGGATATAGATAAAGTTCTTATAATATCCGAGCAGGATAGGTCTCGGAGCAACGGATTTAAGTTGGATATGTTTAGGTTTAGGAGGGAGATAGGAAGAAACTGGTTCACAAATAGGGTGGTGGACGAGTGGAACAAGCTTAGCAACTTTGTAGTAAGTGCGGGAACTCTGGAAAGTTTCAAAAGGAGGCTAGATAGATTCATGGATGATAGAGTGGTAGTAATTCTCGACAGGAGTTGCCATGCAGAGGCCAACCGGCCTATTGCAGACTCCTTATTTTCTTATGTTCTTACATGTAGCAACATATGATACTACTACACGAAGCAATATAATTATGATGTTAATAAATTATACAATATGAGACGCTGCTGTTTCACCCAACGTGTGGTAGATTATGTCAGGATAATACCACATGACCACTTCATGACAACAGTGATGTCACATGACTCAGCACGTTAGATGGGACACGTGATGACTAGATGTGAAGTCATTAAGAGAAATCATGATTGGATGGGGCCGTCTTAGTAATGATGCCTTGTGTGGACGTGTTACCGTTACTTGAATCTGTGTGAATCTGTTTCTCTCACTCAGTTATCCTTTTATTCCTTCCAAATACTTTTACCTTCTTCCTCCCGCAATTGCTTATAATTTTGACTTCCTTGTATAAGTTGTATTCCTTCTAGATGCTTTACCTTCTTCACACATGTTCTCTCTTCCTCCCGTAATCCCTTATACTTTTAACTTCCTTCCACTTACTGTCTTCGTCCCTAAACGAAACTTCCCTTTCCTTGCACATACCACTTACCGTATACCCTTCCCTTAGTTAAAATTCTCCAACATGTTGGATTTTCTTCCCACGTTTCCTTCACCTAGGTGTGGTGGGTTAATGTTTATAAATTTCACCGCTGTACCACCAACCCTGTTACTTGACCGTCATGTTTCAGTAAGAACGAAAATTGTGTGTAGCCTATGTGTGTATGTGTGGGTGAGTGCGTTTGTGCATGTTATCGGTGCTCATGTGCTTTAAGATCCTCTATGTACATGCGTGTGAATGAGTTCTCAATGTGCTTAAATGTACGGAATGTATGTGTGTGAATTATTTGAATGTTATTGACTGGACAGTTAATATATGATATCCATCATTATCTCGAACTCGCTGAGAAGCTTCAAATATAGGTTTGGGTATAGGTGAGTGCACAAAAGAGAGTTGTACGGACAATGACCTACAGTACTTGTAAAAAAAATCACTCAAACAAAAAATTTGCTAAATTGAAAATTTTTAGATTCGAAGATATTAACACCTACTGCTGTGCCCTCTTTGTTTACAAATCTATCAATCACTTGCTTGACAATAATTATTTCCAGTTCCGGAATAATCAGATATACAACTTAGGCACCCAGAGCTACTAAGACCACCCCTTGCGCTCCGCTCAGTCTCAGACTTCCATAAAATATGGTGTGAAGGTGTGAAACAACTTACCCCCACCCATCCGAACAAAGACTACGCTCCCTTCCTTTAAATCATCTCTTAAAAAATATCTATTGTCTAAGTAAGTATTAATAGTTCTTGTAATACCTACTATATATATAATACCTGCTTTTATTGTACCATCAAAGCCGTTTCATTGGAAATTATCATGTAAATAGATAAGAAATTACCATTGCAATAAATATATTTGCCAACTAGACATAATCCTGACAGCTCTGTCCTCTTGTTCAACCTTAATACTGCACAACCCATGTTGTACGGCTTCCTCGTTATATTTATGTTTTTCAATTCCACTGTAATTTATGCATATACTTATAATAGAAAAATAAAATAAATAAATATTGAACTGATAACCGTGGTAACATTATGAGACGTTCTTATTACCACCATGCTATTGTACTATTCCAGACGTTACTAAATATTACATGACTCAGCCATGTTAATATTGTTATTATTATCCACTCTGTATCTGTGTTTTTTGTAAATAAACTGTTTCAAGTCAATTCAATTCAATTCAAAAGGCATTAGGTGTAAACAGGGCTGCTTAGGGCCATAAGGGCTGCTAGTTTCCTTCACTAATATGGTCTTATAGTATTAATTTTGAAACATATATCTACTGGTACACGATGTATCCTGTGTTTGCGAGAACTTCGTGCCGTATTCATATCGTGTTCAAATCTGCAATACCGCCGAATCGTGAACCTAATTTTCTTAAGTCTCAACCGGTGTACTTTATTACTCTTTCATAAATTAATTTGCTCTATTTAAACCTCATTCAGTTAAGATGGTGAATGGGATTAATCATGCAAGTCGCACTTTTATTGGTATTTAACTTTACTACTTGTATAGCCTCCTAGACAGATGACCGAATCGAACAATGGTGACGTCATAATGGGACACACGGTGGGTGCCTGGTGCGAGGCTAGGATGAGTAACTTCCTGACGCACTTCTGGCAATATTCACATCACACTTTAATGCCACTTAATTTTAATAACTAACACTGTAGATCCATTCGTACACTGGTAGATAGACATACTATATATATCTACATACTTGGCATATGCACCAATTAACATAAACATGTATATACGCAGATGACGAAATCCTAGTATTATTTGGAAAACCTCATCAGAGGCAACTCTTTAGCAAGTACGGTCGAAAACTGCTTCTCCGTCACCAAGTCGTCGCCTCTGTGCAGTGAATGAATCCCGAGGTCGCGTCAGGCAACTTTGATCTCTAACGGGACCCAATTCACGGCCACGCGGGATTATGAGCGCATGCGCAGTACTGTCGGCGCTAAAATTCAAACCATCACACCGAGTGCGCTGATTGGTCCAGATCTGTGGCGTGACGTCACAATCCCGAAGGTATATATAAGCCTACTTTCACCGGGGACACGAGACGCAGCCCAGATACACTACTGAGAACAGCATTGAACCAGAGAGCATTCACATAAGACTTTTCGTTTCTCTTGGATTATATATATATATATAGTTCAGTGGTGTTAGTTGGCAGCAAATATGGCTTGTGATTCACGTGCCGGCTTGGAGGCCCAAAAGCTAATCAGCATCTCCCTAGGGAAGATGGCGGCTTCTCGTGTAGGACGGACTGGTGCATCTCTGCACAAGTCGTTGTTGGTGGCTTCAGTGTTGCACCGCGCCCGGCATGTGTTCCTAGAGGAGAGTTACCACGTACACCGCGCTGCTCATCCCGAGGCCTACACCCAGGCACCCACAGACCCAACATCATCACCTGTGGTGACTGTATACGCACCATTAATCCCGCCAGCACCACCAGCGACGCCTTCAACGCCCGCCCTACTCAATGAGGATAACAGCGACGGCGAAGACAAGGAGAATCGTGTGTGTGAGAAACCGCAACATGCAGGGGAAGGAGGAAGAGTTCCACTTAGTGATAACAACAGTAGCAACAGTCGTGTGGCAGCCTTGAAGAGACGACGGTGTGTGAGCCAGCAGGAAACTCAGGAGGCTGTGTGGTCTATTCTGCCAAAGCGGCCCCGGACCACCACCTCCCCAGAGCCACGCTCTTGCCCAACCCCAGACCCCGCCCCGGACCATCACGACAGTGACACTTGTGGCAACAGTATGGAGGTGGAGCATATAACATCACTTGTTTCGATCTTCAGCTTCGGTGGTCAGCGTGTGGACCTGTGCGGGGCCCAAGCGGCCAGGGAGGACCTGGCCCAGTATCAGCCCGTGGCCCTGGCCGTGTGAGGCGTTTATCCTCCCACCCCGTGTTACTTGCTGTACCTGACGAGGCGCTGGCCCACGCCTGCTAGTCAATCTACCCAGGCAATCTAACCTCCTCCCTCCACGCCCCTCATGGATTATACACGCCCGTAATGGAATACTAGCATCTGTCAAGGACAACTTCGCGCCAGCTGTGGACGTCTACTTGGAGGCAAGACCCGCGCAAACTTAAGAAATCAACATTGGCCGTGAAGTTTACATTTTGGTGGAACCAAAGTTGTGACGTAGTGTGGTGAGAAGAGTCCTTAGGAGGCTGGGTATTGTTGGTGTGAAGTGCTAGTGACGGGAGGTGATAAAGGATGGAGTCCTGAAGAGTGAAGTGTTGGTGAAATCCATAAGCGCGGCGAAGTGTTGGAGGGTGTGCTGGTTAAGTGTTGGAGGAGGTGCCAGGGACAATTTTATGCGGTTCACCATGACGGTGGCCGCGTGTGTGTGTGTAATTGTGCGCACCCACACGCCCATGTGATATTGTACATATAGTGTACAAAATAGAAGAATTTATTTATCGCTGGCTTTTTGCGTCAGTGTATATATATTATATATATATATATTTTATATACTCATGTTGAAAACTACAAAAAAATAAAAGTACTAAAGGTTATTTATTTTTTTACTTAACCTGAAAAATTACTCTGAACTAGGATGCAGCCACAGTGATCATTTTGAAGTAATTTTATGAAATAGAAGTGATTATTCATGTACAATTGGGAAGTGGAAGCATCCTAGTTTGGGGAGTCAAACTGATGGCAAGTAGTTTAGTGAGGGTTTTTACCCAAGAACAGGTGTGATGGCAAAGTACTATTAATGACAAGTTGAACTCTCCCAGGCAGTCTACAGGATTACACAAATTGTATGAGTAAGCCAATAATATACAGTACATTATAGCAATACAGTTAATCAAATGAAACAAGCTGATCAATATTGCATGCTAAATCATTAGAACAGTTGGTTCAAATAATAGCAAAACAGTTTTCGTTGGTAATTAAGAGAGCGTGGTCTGAAACAGGATGAAGTTTGGGGTGTCACTTATTTTAACTAGAAAGCGAAGAGACATTTGGAAATACTAGTTACATACAAATTTGGTTGACATTATATTCAGTTCCTTAAACGGTCCAGTGTATTTGTTCTGGATCTAGACATAAAACACATGTACCTTTATAGTCATCGTAATTAGCAACTCCTACACTAGTGAAAACAAAAGGCATTATGTTGACCAAAAAAGAAATTATAGACAAAATTACAATACGTATACACTTATTATATGGGAAGTTTGCTCAAATACAATTTAGGAATGAACCGGGGGGGGGGGGCATTAATAATATGAAGTACGTTTATACAGGGCGATGAACTACATATAAGCAATGATGGAGCTGCAGAAACATATAACTGACGGAGCACAGGAACGCAACCGTGGCGGAGCACATGATTACAACAGTTCGGTATAGTGATTAATATTATTGACAAGAATGTGCCATTAAACACGAAAGTGTAACGGTATATTCATATATAAAAGTACTAACAATGACTCGCACATGTGACTATACACAGTAATACAAGAATATGACTACAGTGACAAATAACTAGTGATACACAACATGGATGGTACAATAATACATAACAATGAAGGGACTATAAAAGTAAAGTGATGTACAAGAGGGCCAGGATACATGGGACAAGTTGTACACGACAAAAGTACAATATTATGCACGGCTGGCAGTACAAAAGAGTAATAGAACGTACGACAGTAGTAACGTAAGAATGAAGGAAAATGCAGCGGGCCTATTGGCCCATACTGGGAAGTCCCATTTACACCCAACCCCTATTGTTCATAATATATCCATCCAACCTATGTTTGAGGCAATCCAGCGTATTCGAGTTAATCATGATGTTTGGTAACTTGTTCCACTCATCCACTATATTTCCAAACCAATGTTTACCTATTTCGCGCCTAAATCAAAATTTTTCTAATCTAAAATCATTGTTACGAGTTCGCTCACAGCACAGCAATTGTGTTGTATGTGACAGTATAAATCAACTGTGAATTTAGTAGAAAGCAACGAAGAACAATGTAGTAAACTGACCATCGCAGAGAAGTTGTTTTAGCTACAAGTTGACACACGGAACGCACTCACGAATTTAATGAGTACAGCTTGTCCATTTTTGTTGTTGTTTACCGATTGACTTGTTGAAACCTCTCCAGACTTTGGAAAGCTGTATAACTCCAAAGGGAATATACTGTACACCCCACCTCAATCTCTAGATACGCCCCTGAACAAACAATCTTTCCGTGTCAGTTGAAGGATTACTGTCTAGTGAACTCAAGGTACTACAGTATATAACGAATTTTTTTTTACTTCTTTATATTAGGGGTAAATATAGACTAAAGGAATGGAGGTTTTACTGTCTTTTAAGAAATAACAGTGAGCTATTTGTGATAGGTAATTCAAATTATTATTATATAATACTGTATTAGTCTGAAGAGCATTACAATGTGTATTAGAAACATGCCTTTGTTTTTTAAATGGTCACAATAAAAATTGGCAGGTGAGGGCGACTCCCTATGCGGGTGTTTATGACCTACAGTAACAGGACTTAAAATGGATTAGGGATAAATGTCTTATTTGGGCTATACATTGAAAGTACTGATATCTTAGTTGAGATTAAATTGAAAGTACCGTTATCTAAGTTGAGATTAATATTGCCATATACATCGTGGTTACTAATAACAAGCTCTAGGAAAGTCCCGTTTTGGCTATTAGTATTTTTTTTAGGTTTTGTTAATATGTATAGTTGTATTAACAGCGTCGAAACTATCGGGTTTTCTTTCTCGGAACTATTATCTAATCAGTGGTAATGAGCGTTCAAAGCCCATCTTTACCTTTTTTCATTATTACATAAATATTTGTTATAATAAGAGGAGTTAAATTGATTCAGAATGGGTTGTGTATAGCAAGAATAGTAATCTAACTTCAGTAATTGGCTTAATACTGTAAAGGTTGCCAGATTGAGCAACAGGAACACCTTGACCACAGCGGTGTAGCAAGTCTGTCCTATCATTTGACGCAATTTTCTTTGTGTTAAATCTGTGGTATGACTACACTTTCATGTGAACGTAAGAATACATCTTCACTTACAAGTAAATATATTAATTCTTACATCAGTTGTGACCTCACTCGATTGGGAACATTCAAGATATAGAAAGGTAGCATTCATTACGCCGCGGTGAAGCAGTTTTCTTATTCAATAACTGCCATCCCCACATTTTCTTACTATAATTGTATATATAAAAGTAACATTACTTAAATGTAGAGTACTGTGTAAATATTTGGTTATTATGTGTGTTTATTGGTTTGATAGTCTTTTATCGTGTACGCACAAATGCAGTATATTTAATGTAGGCTGGTGAGGGAAATAATACTAAATTTAAAACGGCTTTGATATCGTGATTTATTCTTATATGTCTATTAGATACCATTATAGGTCTACGAATAAAATGTGTTAAACTTTGTCATCGATGACGACTAGTTTGTCGAGAAATCTGGGACATCAACAACACGACACCCGAGTCAACCAAACCTTTTCCAGTTTATGTATGACTGACTGTGTGTAGGGTGTTACTCTTATGATCTCAAAAACACCTGTAGCAGGGAATGTTTAAGAACGTTGTGGTTGTAATTATTGTGTTGTTAAACCCGATGCTACACTTGAGGAAGAACAGTTGATATCATTGCCAGGAAGCGCAAAATGAAAAACTGAAATTGGACAACAATTGTGGAGACTGTTGTTTCTCGTCCCCTACATATTAAATTTAAGGTGAGTAATTATTACCATGCTGCATCATAAACAACATTACTATACTTGATCCTTGGATAATGTTTAGAACTCGGGGGAAATTGGTTTGGTTAACGTGTTTAGGGAAGTTCAGGGACTTCATCTTGTTAATGGTGTTCGTTGCTTCCATTTGAAAAATACAAATCAACTCTTCGTCGGTTAAAAGCGACATTTGTTTGTGCTGAAACCACACCTGACATTGGATAGATGTTGTTCAATACAATTTGTTGAAATATTCATTTTCAGTCTCAAGGTATGAAGTAGCTTAACACCTAATTACTTGTAATGAATTTTAGTTTTTTTTCCTTGAAATTTATTTCACTGTAGTTATAAGTACAGTCACGGGTCGTACTGTCTAGTAGATTCTAGCTAATATCCAGTTTTGTCTAATATGAAATTGTGGCTCACTACTTGTTTATGTAAGATGTTTTAATCACGAATGATGAGAACAGTTTAAGACTGGAAATACTTCTATCATGGCAAGTGGTAGGGCCATACACCTATCAGTATATCCGTTTTCCCTGAAACTCACTCAACAACAATTTGCTACATAACTCTTCTCTGATGTGGGCGTAAAGATATAACGAAATTTGTATATACTGTGTAAAATAATTTCCAACAAAAATAAAGTGTCGACACTAGCGCGAGAGATTATTTTTAATTTTGATATGAAATTATTGACAAGCAGTAATTATAGTTAGTTGTAATTTGTCTTCTTAATTAGAAGACAAGTATCAATTTTGGTCCAAAAAGACTACCAGACGTTTATACGGCGTCGAGACCTGATAAACTCAAGGTCAATAATATTGACCTTGGATAAACTATACTCTTTCCACGCTAACCTGGCCCATAAGCTACGCCCCTTCTCTAAAGCTACAAATAGCTGATTGGTTCCCCTGAGCTTTTTACCTCCCCCCGGACTGCACGTATTGATATCGACCTTTTATGATAAATATTTAAAATTTTCTAACATCCTCTCTGAATTATATTGATGTTTATAATTGATAATTTTTGTTTTATTGGCCTTTTTGCGGTCTTTTCTGGCTGTGGTATGTTCACAGTAGTACTTTAAGTCATAACTACGTGAATGTAATACTAAGTTCAAATTTGTATGGAACTAGGTACAAATAACCTGCTTGCTACAGATATTGTGCTGATTTTAGGAATCACTACTGCGTACCGATAATTCCCTCTTTTTTTCGTAAATTCAAGCTGGTGTGTATATGGGAACAATTACGAAGATAACAATAATAAAAACTGTAACTGAATAGCATTGCTATCCTAACTGTGAAAAATTTAGTGTTAAGATATCAAACAAATTCTCATGAAACCACAGTATACAGTATAAGACTTATCAATTTCTAATTATTAGTGACTAGGGAATTTATAAACCTAAAACACGTACTTAAAGACCTTAGATCCTGAGGTACAACATCAATTCTACTACTATAAAATGCAGTTTCCGCGTAATTACAACAATAAAAAGGAAACGAAAAGTTATCCCAACGGTTTTTAGAGTTGCGTTTATACCTTCCAAGTCGGAAGTTGTGTTAATAACTTCCAGGAGGGACTGAGTGTTCATGGTTAGTGCGTGTAAGCATCAGTCTGTGAACTTATGAACTATAAATTGTCCCTTATAAACTTGGATAGTTTTCCTTAGAGGAGTCTATTGTTTTCTTCTTAAACGCTTTATATGGTTTATAAAAAAAAATTGTAGAATCTATTGGTAATGGATGTTTTTCTTCAGGCATGTTATTGTGCAAGAGATTA